AAGTCATCCTTGCAATCGGCGCATCGTCTCGTCTCTGATTTGTTTCGCAGCTCTTGCACTGCGCGCGGTAACGCCCATGCGAGCGTTGCTCGAAATCATGAAGGGGCAACAGCTTGTCACACCCAGCGCAATGCTTTGTATCTGGCTTCTTGCTGTCCTCGTCTGCCCTCTCGCACTTTTTGCAGTTCCTGCGCTAATGCAGGTCCGGCGTCTTCTCGAAGTTGACCTTGTCTACTCAGCGTCGCATCCAGGGCAATACGTCGCATCTCTCCTCGCGCCCGCCTCGCACTTCCTGCGCTTCTCGTTCAGAGCGCCTGTTTCTGTCTTGTCGAAGTCTTCCTTCAGTAACCACTTCTTGCAAATGCCCCAGCACTGCTGACACTGCTCTGGTTTGCACGTCTCACAGAAGTCGTCCTCGCAAGCATCCCTAGCTTTCGGATTCGGTCGCTTCGATTCGCAAAACATGCGCGGTGGGAATTTTTGGTCCTCGCACAAGCACTCCCTCTTGACCAACTCGGAGGTGCCTCTGATGGCGCCCACTGGCCTGTTCTCGATCCACTTGTCCTTCGAGCACTGCGCGCAGGGCGGGCGGGGGCACTCGCAGCACGTCCCCCGGGGAGTCTGCCTGAGGTTATTCAGCGCGCCCTTAACTTCCGCCGCCTGAAACTCCCGCGAGCATTTCGGCTCACCGCACTTTGCGTCCGAGCACATCCCGATAATCTTGTCGGCGCACTGCCGCCCCCTGACCGCGCGCCTCGCGCGTTCGGCCTCCGCCAAAGCGTTTTTGCTGCGCCGGGAGTGGGGCACGTTGTCCACGACGTGATGATATGTCAGCATGCGTCATGGCACTGAATCATTTCTCATGACGTCTTTTCCAAGCTTGTGCCCGGGGCTGTCACCGTCTTCCCAAGCTTTCTGATTCACTTCAATCGAATTCTGGGACGGGAACTCGTGCTCGCACGATCCATCGCAGCAGATGAGATGCTTTCCTGTTGTGCCAGTTCAATTGTCTCTGGCGCTTCAAGCAGACCAAGTCTGCGCCACGTCGCAGGACAATCTGCTCGCAGGCGACCTGGTCCCGACTGGAGCTGGATGCTTCCATCCCCTTCCAGACATCGACGTCCTCGCCCCGCTCTTGTTTTTCTCGTTTCTCCATCGCTATCTGCTTGTCTGCAGAGATGCGGCGCGGCAGTCTCATCGAGGAGAGCCAGTCGGCCCGTTCCTCATCCTCCTTCGCTGCTTTTCTGCCCTCTTGCGTCGACGCCGCCTTCACCTTTGAAATCGTTATGAGCTTCCTCGTCGGGGCGCCCAGGAGGAGTCGCGGGCCCGGAAGCACCCCCTGTCGAAACAGGTGGGGAGAGTGCGGCTGCGAGATGGGCATGTTCTCTGCGTCCTTCAGCCTGCTCATGATGATGTGGGCGCGCGGCATCGCGTCCCTCTGCGGCTTCGCAGTCCACGAAAGACAATCCCCGATGGCAGCCGGAAGCGCACTCCCGCAACGCGCGCGTGCTGTTCCACCGAAGTCAGGCACGATGGGGGAACCGTAGCGCTTCAGCTCCATGGCGCCTCCGGCACCCAGCGACCACGGCCGCGCCTGCATGAGCAGCGTGTATTCGCGGTGCCCGTCGATATCTGGCACGAGTATCGTCGGGGGTTCTCTGCAAAACTATATCCCCATCCATGAGTAATTTCACTCGCTCCTTCTCCTCGTCGGGGAGCTCCCAGCCGCGGAGGATGCCACACGCGCAAGAACGCGCGTTGTTATTTTGCCTCCCTGCCGAGCGCGTCTGCGAAGCGAACGGGAAGATTGGGTACGAGTAAAAGCAGTCCTGGTACGGTATTCCTCCTATCTGGCGGTCGCGATGCCCGAGGAGCCTCTCTTCGGCCGCTTCGCGCATCTCCTCCGAGTCGACCGTGCTCCCCGCGAGAACCTGGGGAGCGGTGCAGAAATCTCTGCCGGGGTCAATTTCGATCGGTGCGTTCCCCGAATGATTAATGCGAGCTTTCGGGGAATATCGCGTTCCGGTTTTCCATCTTGGCGATGTACTAGAACGCGCGCCCGCGGACGACGTTCCCCCTGCGGAATCGTCTGCCGTTCGGAGAACATCGCCAACATAACCTAGAACCCTTCAATGGAATGGTTTCGATTGTACAGAAGGGTTTCTGCGGCCGCGAGGATCCTCGGACGCATTGGACAGCGCTTCCCGAAACGACGTCCGATTGTTCGGGGAACGCGCCATTGGGGGCCGCATAAGATGTGAGCGCGTACAACATGTGTTACCTTCCGCCAAGCTCCAGCTTAACACGAAGCACATCGACGATCCTGACGCCATTGGCCAGCGTTCCAAAATAGTTTGTCCAATGATTCGGGGAACACCTTATTGGAAGCCGCATGATATCAAATACTTTAGAACATGGGTTCCCTTGACGCCGCGCTCTGGCGTTTCCCGAATGACCAGCATCTTCGTTCGGGGAACGCTTCCTAGTCGATCGGCCCATCCTTTCCCATTTTGGCTACCTTCCCCCATCCTCGTCGTACGCGGCGGCCCAGAACACCTGCTGGTTGTTCTCCTTCGCGAAGGCGATGGCCCTCAGCTGCAGCGCATGATGCAATGGGTATCGGAACGGGTGCGCGAATGTAGCCACGTCGAACGGCGGACTTTGCAACCTGCTCTAGTGTTCCGCGTCACCGGCCCGAAGAGCACAGCATCGGCGCCGCCGTTTTGCCTTGCAGACGTCGCACTCCATGTTCGCACGGAAGCTCCAGTTGTCGATGCTTCCACGTCCTCGTGGAAATCTGTCTGCCACGTTCCATCTCTCAGCGTAGCGCAAGTCGGATTATTGTACCGCGGCTTGTCTTCGTCGGGCAGCCACGTTCCTGCATCCCGGACAGGCAATCCGTGGACGAAACAATAGATTCCCCATGACTCCCTCCCATCTCGCTCGAAGTCCAGCACAACGCGCAGCCACGTGTCGGTCGTGCGCATGGGCACCGTGAGAACGAACGTCTTCTGGATGCCGTCTGAATCTTCCGCAACTCAGAACATCTTCAGCGCCCGTTGCTCCTCTGTAGACGTGTCTGCGGTGACCGGATTCGTGTATATGGAGATGTGCTTGACAGGCGGCAACTGCCAGAAGTCTCCCGCGAACACCACGTTGATGCCTCCAAACGGGCGTTGCTGTTTGCCCCGGCACGCGTAAGGATGTCGCACACATGCTCGACGCAGGTACGAATCCAACAGTCCGAGCAGAGACGGTGACAACGTGCTGACCTCATCGATCACCGTCCATCGTCTGCCTAGAGCCTTCGGGAACAACTCATCGATGTCGCCGTCCGTTCCTTGTGTTCCCGCTTTTTCACAGGGACATGGGTGATTCCACGCGCATGCAATAAGTTCTGTGCTCTTTGGGTCGGCGGTGTTCGCAGAAGTCGAATACACCTTCTGGCCTCCGAAACAGTAACCACGATATCCGTGACGAACACCCAGACGCTTCGCTATCTCGTGAACAACGATTGTCACAGGATTTGCCACATCAGCGCCCTCACATCACGATCCACCGAACTCCTGCCACGACGCTCCCCTGTTTAGAATCGCCCAGCCAGAGGCGGCCATGTCACGCAGAAAACGTAAGATAGTAAGCTGTGCTCTCGGAGGATGCGAAGCTGCAAGCAAGCCCCGAACCCGAAGGGAACTGCAGAACGATCCGCCGCCCCCTGTTGATTCATCACAAGGACGGCCCAAGAGGCCTCCAAGAGGTCCTCCAGGACGGCCCGAAGAGGCGAAAATCATGGATGTCTCGTACGGGTTTGAAAGATTGTGGCATGTATTTCTTCTCTGCATTCCGACGGCTCAAGGCGGCCCAAGAGGCCCCCAGAATCCCTCCAAGATCGCCCACGAGGCCTCCAAGATGACCCCATGACGGCCCAAGAGGCTCCCAAGACGGCCCCAAGACGGCCCCAAGAGGCCTCCAAGACGGCCAAGACAGCTGCCCAAGAGGCCTCCAAGACGCGACGGCCAAGATGGCCCAGCGAAAACCAAACATTGATCCGAGATGTTCCCAACAACGGCCCAATATGCACTCAAGATTGCCCAAGATGGCCTCAAGAAGGCCCATAAGGCTCCAGAGGCCCCCAAGAGGACGCCAGAACGTGCCAAGAGAGGTCACCCAAAGGCGAATTTCATATATTTTCTTTCGGTTTTTAAGGGTTCGGGAATCTGCTGCTTGTCGGTCCTCCGACGGCCCAAGACGGTCCAACAGGACATCAAGATCGCCCCAAGAGCGCCCAAGAGGCCTCCAAGATGGTCCTAGGACGGCCCAAGACGTCCCCAAGACGGCCCCAAGAGGACCCAAAGACGGCCTAAGATGCCTCCAAGACGCCCAAGATGGCCTCCAAGACGGCCCTGAAGCGCCCCAAGAGGGCCCCAAGCTGGCTCAGAAAAGCCCAAAACGGGCAAAGAGGCACCCAAGAGGCGCCCAAAGGCCCCCAAGAGACACCCAAGAGGCCCCAAGAGAGCCCAAGATGGCCCCAATGTGGCCTCCAAGGCGGCCCCAGGATGCCTCCAAGACCGCCAAAAAGGGCCCAATCGAGCCCAAGAGTGCCCCAAAAGGCTCCGAAGAGTCCTCCTCCCCCCTTATCTTCTTGTCCGCATTATCCTCCCCTTCCTCGACCACGTGTTCCCCGAAGGCGTTCCAAACAAACTCGAGGAACATATGGCCCGATATTTTGGCCAAGCTCTAACCCAAATTTCGGCTACATAGGCGCTTCCACGAAGGCAGGTGGCGGCGGTGATTCGCCACAAGCGTCTTCGATACGAAGAGGCGCCATCAAATCTGAAGAAAAATCATGGCCCACGCCATGATATCCCCCCCTAGTCATCGCCACCCTCTTGGCCGCCCCCGATTTATGTTTATGGCGTTTCCTCTCCTTCGAGCCGGAGCAGCGCCAGGAGCCCCGCCGAGGCCCCCGCCCCGCCCCGCCGCGCCACCCGCCGCGCCGCCGGATCGAGCTGCGCATGGCCTCGGGCACCAGGGCGCCCTTCACCGCGGACACGGCCGGGCTGTAGAGGCCGGCGCAGAACTCGAAGGCCACGAAGCCTGGGCACTGGTCTCTTCTGATGCGGTTGACTTCGGGGGTCTTTGGTTTTGATCCCCCCTGCTTTTCACTCGGCGGTGGACAGGACTGGTCCTAAGCCTCTTCCTCCACCTCCTCTCCCCTCTCCCCCTCCTCCTCCTGCTCCTGCTCCTCCTCCTCCTCCTCCTCCTCCTCCTCCTCCTCCTCGTCCTCCTCCTTCTCCTCCTCCTCCTCCTCCTCCTGCTTCTCCTCCTCCTCCTCCTCCTCTTCCTCCTCCCGCCCCTCCTCATGCCACGAAACAAAAAATAAGTAAATTGCCACCTATTGGTTGGACCCCAGTCCTTCAATAAGGCCGCCGAAAAAAAAAAGTTACCCAGGGGGGAGGCCCTTGGTAACTGTGACGCTTGGGCGGGGTAGGGCACGTCGGGGCGGGGGTGCGCTGCGATCGCCATAGTACGTGCGCGACCCCCCCCCCGCCCCCTACGCACGAACGTGTTGCCGTCACTCTGGTGTGTGTGTGTGGGAATTTGACCATGGTGACGACTGTCACGCGTCAGAAAATCAACTGCAATTGTCTCCTGACATCTGCCGATCTGATTTTCCCAACCCGCGGTCCCATCCCTACCCCGGGGGCAACTGTTCACCCGGAGCCGTTTCTGATTGTCCCGGGGGCAGTCCCTGGACGCAAAACTCCGTGATTGAGAAGAACACGCCCAAATCGAGGAAGCTGCCGAAATCAAAAAAACATGCCTAGACCCCCGCCGCATGCTGCGGATAAGAGTGAGGGGCGCGGTTGGGTCGCGGGCGGGTCGCGGGCGAGGACGACGACAAAAACGGCAACGCAACAACAATAAGCAGAATCCGCGCCGCGGAACTCCGTCAGCCGCAACCGCAACCGCAGCCGCAGACGCAGCCGCAGCCGCAGCCGCAGCCACAGCCGCAGCCGCAGCCGCAGCCGCAGCCGCAGCCGCAGCTGCAGTGTATGACTGCTCGGTCCCCTTACTCTGACAAGCTCGTCTGAGATCATGGGGCGCCTCCCAGCACGCAGGAGACATACTCCGTGGACCCCGCGGGCAGCAGGTTCAGCGCCAGCGCGGGGGGCAGCAGCGCGAGGGGCGCCAGCAGCAGCGCCGCGCGCAGCGGCAACGCCGCGGCGGCAGTCACGGCGCCGGCCGTCTCCTCCCCCTGGTCCACCTGCGGAAGAAGCACCCTTTTCAGCGACGGAAAGCAAAGATTTTTCGCAGGAAGTCGTGGCGACCTCACGCGGCGGCTTACGCGGACCGTCAGCGCGGCACGCCACAGTGGAAACGAGGGCGCTCGTGCGCGACCCCACGTCGGCAGCTCACGCGACAATGTCGGTGAAGACGATCCCGATTTTGTCGTCGCTCATTTGGCGGCGAGCCCCGAGGGGGCAGGCCTTCTCAGAAGGCGGCGGGGCCTCTCAGAAGCCCTCCCGCCTTTTGAGAAGCCGTCTCTGTCTTCGGAGAAGGCTTAAACCACTTCTCAGAAGGCCAGAGGCCTCCCGAGCCGTCTGAGAAGGCTCGCCCCCTCTGACTTCCCCCTGGGCTTGCCACCGAACCGTACCCAGACATGCTGGCTTCGGCCTCCGGTGCTCTTTGCTGGGACCCATAGGACCATCAACGAAAAGCGGCTCAGGATGGAAAGCCGGTGCTGCGGAAGGGGTCCAGACCTCTGAGAACACCTCGACGTCGGGGGTCTGGGTTGTGGGGCGGACTCGCTCGGGGGGGGGCATCGAGCTGGCACCGCGGCGATGCCTCGCCCATAGACCAGCGACCAGTGGGCGATATGGTGTGGATGCATCCCCCCGCCTCGGGTGTGGTGTGGATGCGTCCCCCCAGCCCTCTGCGCCCCTCCGCCCCCTGACGTTGGCCCCGGACCTGCCCCTCCTCCCTCGGCGCGGGCGGCGCGGGGCCGAAGAGCTGGAACGCCAACGACCCCGACATGTACGCCAGCATGAAGGTGGCGAAGACACGGCCCAGGGCCGGCGGCTCGTTCGCACCCGCGGTGAGCGAGGAGGTCCGGGTCGGACGAAAGCGGGGGTGCAGCAGAGGGGGTATGATGACCATCTCACGCATCGCCGACTCTCCCGGTGCTCGCCCGCCCCTTTCCCGCCCCCCGCCCCCCGAGTGATCTTCGTCGTCGTTCGGGTCATCACTCGGGACTTCCGTGGCCGATCGGGACGACTCGGGACCCCTGAAAGACCCTTAGCGAGGCGCAGCTGTTGGACGCCATCCTGAGGCTAGAAGACTGTCGAGAACCCACGACAACGTCAGATAACCTCGAGCCTCTGATCCCCGCCGTCAGGAAACTTCGAACCTTGGAAGCGGCCGGGGGGCCTGCACTGGGGGGGGGCCCGAGAAACTCAGTCAAGAGAAGGGCGGATGCTCAAGCTCGGTCGTCCCCGGATCCCTTCCCACGGTCGACACTGACAGGCCTTTCGAGCCGCATTCAGCCGCGGCGGCGAGGGGGCCCCTTTCTCCCTCCCTCCTGCTGCTGGGCCATCTCAGCCCTCCGAGTCGGCTCCAACTCGAACCCTGTCGTACGACCCGAGAGGTCCAATTGAACACGAACGTGAAGACCGAGGCCTCGAAGCCTGCGATGGCTACGCCGAGCGCCAGCAGCGCCGGGCTCGCCGCCACCGCCCGCCACGCGGGTGCCACGGCGCCGAGCGGCGACCCGCCGCCTCGGCCCAGCACGAGGCAAGCGGGTCCCGAAGCTTCCCTGAGATCTGGGCGTCGCAGCTGTTCGTCAATCTCTGGCTTGGATGCCACGTCCGGGCAGCGTCGATGTCGCTTCCCTGGGATGCGAGCGTGGATCCAGCTCCGGCTAACTGGAGGACGCGAGTGTGGGCCCCCCCCCGTAGCCCGTAGCACTCACGAGAGCTCATTTAAATCCCGAGGTGGGGGAACCGCAGAGCGATATCGTGATAGCACCACAGCAAAATAACATATCAGAAAATTCCGCGGGGGGGTCGGTGGAAATAAGACGAGGAAGACAGCCCAGGCCTCAAGACGGCATCTAAGTGTGCTCATGTTGCAACCCTCTCGGGGTCTCACTTGAATCCGATTGGGGTCCAGGGGCGGGTATCACTTCCAGGGGCGAGGCGCTATGTTATTTCGCCGAAGGGGGGGCCGATAGTCACTTTGCAGGTTTAGTTCATGTTGATTGGCGTCTGTTAGCCTTGACTCGCTTCGATTAGCGTCGGGTTGATGTGGTGGCTCGGCAGTTCCGTCGCGACCGTCGGGGGCAACGTTATGCGGGGGGAGGCTCGAGACCCAGGACCCTCACACATGAATCCAGCTCCGAAAGTGCAACAGGACGCTTGGAATTGTTCGCGATGTTGCATGTGTTCGCATCGTTGGATCTCAGGGATCCCCCCCTGGAAATGCAAGCATCATTATTGGCCGTTGTCGGCCTCCGTGGGTCACTCGCCGGGCCCCTTCTCAGCGGTCAGAGAACGACTCAGGGTGAAACGCCGGTACCGGGAGCCTCGCTGCGAATCAAATCACGACGGGGGATATGCCGAGGGTTCCCTCAGGACCAACTTTTTACCCGGAGTCGTTGCGTGATGGTCCCGGGGCCCGAGGGGGGCCCCAAGGAGTCAGGAGAAGGTGCGGAAGGCCTGGCCCGTTTCCCTCGGGACCTGTCTGCTTCATGCCGCCTGGCGCGCCCAGTCCAGGGCCCGCGCCGAAGTTCTCGCCCCAGGTGGCCGTCAGCAGGCCCAGCCCCAGCAGGAGGCACGCTATCGCCAGGTCGAAGGCCGCGGTTAGCCCGCCGTAGTGGAGGGCGCTGCCTGTGTCGGGGGTCCACTGGCCCGGATGAATCCAAAACCAGGTCAGTGAGGCCCGGCAGGATCCTGCAAGGTGCTGCAGGATCCTGCAGGCTCCTGCGCCCTAACCTGGAACGGTGCGCCCCTGGCTCTGCAAAATCCTGCACAATCCAGCGCTCTGACTGACCCACGCTCGCACTGACCCCGTCTAAAGGCTCCCGGCTGTGGGGGATACACAGGGTACCGGCAACGCTGCAGTCAGCGTGCTACCAGAGGCATACTCGAAGGAGGGATGGAGGGCCCTGGGGCCGCGGCCACGAAGAGGTTCCCCGACCGAGATCTGAGGAGCAGCCAGAAGATCAGAGCCCCACCGATAGAAGATGACAATGACGATGACGATGACGCCGTTGTCGTCGTCGACATTGTCATCGTCATCGGCATCGGCATCGGTATAGTAATCGTCATCGACAGCATCATCTTCATTTCCACCACCACCATCATCATCATCATCATCATCATCATCATCATCATCATCATCATCGTCATCATCAACAACATCACCACCACAATCATCATCATCATCATCATCATCATCATCATCATCATCATCATCATCATCATCATCATCATCATCATCATCATCATGGTCATCATCAACATCATCATCCTTAGCAACACCAACAGCATCATCATCATCATCACCAGCATCACCATCATGAGCATCATCGTCGTCATCGTCATCTGTATCATCATCATCACCATCATCATCATTAATCGGCGTCGGCATCGGCATAGTCATCGTCATCGCATCATCATCACCACCGTCATCATCAGCAGTAGCATCAACAATACCATCATCACCACCATCATCATGCGCATCATCATCAGTATCATCATCATACCATCATCACCATGAGTATCATCAGCATCACCGTCATCATTAGCAGCATCATCATCACCACCACCACTATCATCATACCATCATCATAATCAGTCTCATCACCATCATCACCAGCATCACCATCAACATCATCACCATCTTCACCAGCATCAACACCATCATAATCATCATCATCATCACCATCGCCACCGTCATCACCTTCCGGATCATCGTCATCGTCATCGTTGTCGTCATCGTCATCGTCATCACCATCGTCATCGCCATCGCCATCGCCATCGTCATCGCCATCGTTCTTACTTCAACGTCTTGACTCTGCTCCCACGACCTCTCCCGGGGTGCGTTCGGACCAGGTTCTTGGATAGTCCAGCCGTGGCGACGAGGGCCCTCCAGGACGAGCAACGGCGTCGGTATATTTTCTCCTCTGACTGCCGGCGCTCACCGCCGTCAGCGGCATGACGCTCACGGCGAGGTCCCCGGCCGGGCCGGCCAGGATGGCCTGATAGGGGGAACGTTTGGAATGGGGACAAGCTCAGGGGGGGAAGCATCGACCTCGAGAAATCGCCGAGAGATCGGCGACAGGCCCCCAGACATCGAATACAGGCGTTCCCTGTCGGGGTGGGCCATCGTGCCCCTACCGACGAGGAGTGGACGATTGGGGGGGGGGGGGCGATGCGTCCCTCTATGCGCCTGTGCACCCCGAGCGCTGCATCTGGTTCTCGGGTCATGTTGCGCTCGGCTCCTCGGCCGCCGCTCGGGACGATCGGGGCCCCCGGGAAACCCGTCGGCGAGGCGCAACTGCTGGACCGCCCCCGGAGGCTGGAACTCCGTCCAGGCCCGACGAACGTATCGGAAAATGTCGGGCCCTGAGATCGATCCCCCGCTGCGGTGACCCTGCGATATCACGAAGCATCAAGACTAGACCCCATGCCAGACGCTGGCGCGCGCCATTCTACGCGAACGACGGAATTTCGAGGACATGGTTGGACGGGGGAGGGGGTTGCTCAAAGGGAGACGGGGCTTATCAGCGGATGCCCAGGTGCGTTGGAACTCGCCTGACCGAGCTTATCAGCGGGTAGCAAGTGCCCCACGTAGCTTAGGGTTGGGTAGCGATCTGGGCTAAGTGGGCTCCGACCTCTTCACCCAAGCGAAGCTACATGACCCCATGGTGAGTTCACAACCCACCCCCCACATCAAGGTCATACCGCCCCGCGGGTGGCGCAACAGACGGTCAAGCCGCTGGCCCGACGACCCACCCCCTCGGGTTCGCAACGTAGGGCCGAGACCGCAACGATGTAGCGGCGCTTACGCCAAAATTGGCTCGACATGGCATTGGAGAAGAAGGGGGGGGGCGGCGAAGGTAAACGCGAAAGGAACGGCAATATGACATGGGGTTACGATGCGCACGCGGGAGGGGAGGGGGGGGGGAGGTGAGAGTGATGACAAAAAATGGGGATGGTGAGGATGGCAAGGGAGGAGGAGGAGGGGGAGGAGGAGGAGGGGGAGGAGGAGGAGGAGGAGGAGGAGGAGGAGGAGGAGGAGGAGGAGGCGGAGGAGGAGAAGGCTTGTTTTGGCCGCTTCACGCTCCCACGCCTGGGGGTGCCTCCAGGTGGCCGCCGAGTACGGCCAAACGCCGTCAATGCGTGCTGGCAGGGCGAGCACGCGAGACGGCCGATGCACCCAGCCTGCAGACAGAGAGTACTGCAGGCCTGTAACCGTCGGGCAGGTGCCGACGGCGCCGAAAGAGAACCTGCAGAGATGAGACTCGGCAGGCCACACGACGGGGGCTCCGCCCCCGTGGCCACGCCAGGAGACTGCGCCCGCGACAGGCTGAAGACCAAGAGAGAAAGCATTGACCACACTGAGAGCCTCCACGTCAAGCCAGACACCGTCTAGCTTAGGGTGCTTGCCAGCGCAGATCCGATTCCAGTAGTAATTGCCAATTCGGGTCCTGTGCGGCCCGCCCAAGCACTGCTGGGTTTAGATGCCGCAGGTACCTCCCCGAGGCAAAAGGCACGCAGCGGCAGCACACCACGAGAAAGCTGCCGTCTGAACACGAAATGCCCAGGCACATGTGGCCCAGCTCGGTCGGCCTGCCGCCGACCAGCTTGTGCGTCTTCGACAAGACACGATCGTGAGGCCACAGCACCGGCGAGGCCCCCAAACATGGCTTGCACTGCTAATGCTGCTCACGCCACGCCAAAATCGTGCCTAGACTTAGGCACGGGAGGGGGAAGTCTCCCACCACCTGCTCCTGCATCAGATGGCCCTTCAATTTGTGAATGGGCGCCATATTTGAACCGGCTGTCCAAACCGACATGCCAGAGTACACTCTGCGGAAAGATAGCAGTCCTTGCCTGGGAGACGCCGAGGCCGAGACCACGTTCTGACAGTCGCTGTATCCTTCAGCGCCGTCGAGAGCGTTCTAGCACGCGGCAGTGCAGGCTGCAAACTCGCCAGCCTGAGCCGTCTGGAGCGTACACATGACCCAACTCCTGCCCAGCATCGGGTAACGAGACACATGACCCCCCCGTCCGCGAGAGCTCCAAGCAGGACCCATCCATGGAAACCTTACCACCCCCAGTGTGATCATCGTGGCCGTCAACATGGGAGAAGGTAGGCTCAGCCACGGGGGGAAGGGAAGGAGGAGGAGGAGGAGGAGGAGGAGCAGGAGGAGGAGGAGGAGGAGGAGGAGGAGGAGGAGGAGGAGGAGGAGCGGGGAGGGGGGGAATTTTGAGTTACGCTGGGCGGGCGAAACATGCCCCGCGGGTTGGTGGAGGCCGCAGTTGGCGGCGGCCGCACGACGGTGGCGGCCGCAGCGGCGAGCGCCCCTGCCGCGCGCGTGTCCGAAGGGTGTGCGTGCGTGGATCTGCGGGGCCCGACTGGCGGGCCACCAAGGGATTGAGCCAATTGCCCAACAGTCGGACCCAAACATTAATGTCGGGGGTGAGTTGTGAGATTGCGACCCCACTGAGCCACTTGGGGCACCAATATAATGCACTGATAAGCCAAGTCAGGACAGAGATGGCCAACCCGGGCATCCGCTTGTGCCCCCACCCTACCAATGGGGGCCTAACTTCGCGCTTCGCGATGCGCGGAGAGCGAAGCGCGAATGACTTCGCGCCGTCGCGCCGCTCCCAGGGGGAGAAGAGAAGAATGAGGAATCGGAGCCGAACCGCAAAGCGCGAAGCGCGAACAACTTCGCGCCCTCGAGGCCGCCCCCAGGGAAAGAAGAGGAGAATGAGGAGGAACCGGAGCCGAAGCGCGAAGAGGAAGCGCAAAGCACGAATAGCTTCGCGCCCTCGAGGCCGCCCCCCAGGAGAGAAGAAGAGAATGAGGAGACACCCGAGCCGAAGCGCGAAGCGCGAAGATCTTCGCGCCCTCCAAGCCGCCCCCCAGAGAGAAGAAGGGGATGAGGAACCGGAGCGGAACCGCGGAGCGCGAAGCGCGAACAACTTCGCGCCCTCGAGGGCGCCATTGCTAACGTTGCCCCCGACGGCCACGACGGAGCTGCCAAACCACATCAGCCCGAACGTGCGCGGCAGGCCGTCCTCGCCGTCGCCCTCCCCACCGGGCGGCCCGCGGACGACCCGCTGCTCGTGCTCGCGGACGAGCCAGGACTCGAACGCCGAGAAGAGCAGCGAGGTGGCGATTGATGACGAACGAACAGCGCACCCATACCCATACGTGGAGGCCTCCTAGAGGGGGTCCGAGTAGATGGGGTCGGAGGATCGCGCCGCATCGGCGATGCATCGGCGAATCCTCGTCGACATGGGCGATGCATCTGCGACGTCGGCATGGAGAAAATCGGAGTCCGCATCGAGCCGCATCGGCGGCTGCATCGGCCATGCGGCGCGATCCTCCGACCCCACCTGCTCCGACCACATCCTGGAGAGACAGGATACGGGGGTCGGAAGGAGGAGGACTGACTATGGGTTATGGTTGCGAGCTGTCGGACCCCAAGGACGCTCTCGTTCGAGCGGGGGCCATTCTCCGACAACACGCGCCCATCGATCCCTTCGTCCACCCACCCTATGGGTATGGGTGTATGTTGTTCGTTCGTCAATTGACGGGCAACGATAGGACAAGACCCCCTCGCGTCTTGGAAATTAGCCAGGCGAAGGACCCAACAATATGCAGTTGTGAGTGCCGCAGTTGTGAGTATCGTCTTCGGTAGAGCTCCTTATGGGGCCACTGAGCGTGCGAGGTGTGTGCCGTGGTGGTGGAACCGCATGCGAACCCTGCCACTGGGGCCTCTGGCGGAGCTCCCCATGCTGCCACGAAACGTGTGAGGGGTGTGCCGATATGGGGGTGAAGTCGCATGCGAACCCTGCCACTGGGGAATTCGGTGGAATTCCCCATGCTGCCACGAAACATGTGGGGGTTGTCCCGGAATTTGAAGTGGAACCGCATGCGAACCCTGCCACTGGGGCCTTCGGTGGAGCTCCCTACAGGGCCCCGAAAAGTGTGATGGCCATTGCGAAACTAGGGGTGGAACCGTATTCGAACCCTGCCACTGGGGCCTTCGGTGGAGTTCCCTAAGAACCCACGAAACGCGTGAGCCAACGGGGCCTTCGGTGGAGCTCCGTATGGGGCCACGAAACGTGTGAGGGGTGTGCCGAAATTGGGGGTGGAACTGCATGCGAACCCTGCCACTGGGGCCTTCGGCGGAGCTCCCCATGCTGCCACGAAACGCGTGAGGGGTGTGCCGGAACAGAGACGCGCGGATGGCAGAGGCAAAGATGGGAGGAGGAAGGAGGGGGAGGAGGAGAAGAGGAGAGGAGAGAAGGAAAGAACGCGGGGCGCTGCCTCTTCAAATCGAAGACCCGACACCACAACATGGTTGGGAACAAATCGTGACGGACGGGTTCTTGTCGTTTTCAGTCTCTCTGGGATGGGCGCGGGGGTTGCCAAGGGGATATGGGCTGATCAGCGGGCGCGAAGGTGCATTAGATCTGGCCTAACCTAGGTTATAAGTGGGTTATAAGTGCCCAATATGGCTTAGGGGGTTCACGGCCTGGGCTACGCAGGCTCCGCCTACTTAGCGGAGACATCTGGCCCCCCTTGAGCCTTGAGCCACTTTGGGCTTTTGTAACTCACGCCTCAGCTAGGTTCAGTATCCCAAAGGCTCGGAAAGCCTCCTGAAAAGTTCTCAGAGCCTTCTCCGAAGACAGAGACGACTTCTCAGAATGCGGTGGGCTTCTGGAAAGCCCCACCGCCTTCTGAGAAGGCCTGCCCGCTCTCACTTCCCCTCCGGGCTGGCCGTCGCTAGGTTACGCAAGATATCCGCCACCATGCCCCCTGGCACGTTGATGCGTGGAAGAATGCCAAGGTCTGTCTGGTAAGGTGTTCGACAACTCTTACTCGCAGACACTTGCGTGCATCCCCACTACTCACCGAGGCCACTTCTCCCGTGCCCGCTCGAGGATGGTGCACTCCCTTCCAGCATGACAGCGAATGCCAAATCCCCCCTTCCACGCGTGCCCGCTCGAGGATGGTGGACTTCCCGCATGGTAGAACATGCCTGAACCTCCATTCGATGCGCGCCCGTTCGAGGATTGTGCACTTCCCGCATGACAGCTAATGCCTGAACCCCCCTTCCACGAGTGCCCTCTCAAGGATGGTGCACTTCCAGCATGGTCAGTGATGCCTGAACCCTTATTCGATGCGCGCCCGCTCGAGGATGGTGCACTTCTCGCATGGCAACTAATGCCTGAACTCCCCTTCCACGCGTGCCTGCTCGAGCATGGTGCATTTCCCGCATGGCAGCTAATGCCTGAACCTTCACTCCACGCGCGCCCGCGAAAGGATTGCACACTTCCCGCGTGGCTGCTACCTCACAGACCCTTTATCACAAGCGCAACCGCTCGAGGATTGTACACGTCCCCCATTCCTGGGCGCTGCTCCCAAGCGCTCCAGGGCCTTCCAAGCCACGATCCCTCGTTGAAACGATGGGTATGCGTCCCGAGCTTCCAGAACGGCCAGCAGGCGGCCACAAGACGGCCCCAAGACAGAACAAGAGGGCCTTCAGTGAGACCCAAGATGGCCTGAGAAGGCCCTTGGACGGCCCAAGACGGCGCCAAGACGGCCCCACGACAGCCCCCAGACACCCACCATACTGCCAAGAAGGCCCCTAAGACGGACCAAGACAACCACAAGCCCGCCTAAAAGCGCCCCAAGGTGGCCCAAGAAGGCACCAAGGGATCCCCAAGACTGCCCCACAGGAGGCCAAGACAGCCCCAAGACGGTCCAAACGAGAGTCATCATGATCATCACCATCCTCATCATGATCATCATCACCATCAGCATCAGCATCATCATCATCATCCTCATCATCATCCTCATCCTCATCAACATCAACAGCATCATCATCATCAACCTCATCATCATCATCAGCATCATCATCATTATCATCATCATCATTAACATCATCATCATCATCATCATCATCATCATCATCATCATCATCATCATCATCATCATCATCATCATCATCGGCATCATCATCAACAGCAGCAGTAGCATCATCAGCATCAGCTTTGCCGTCATCATCACTACCTTCAGTACCAGCAGCATATATATATATATATATATCAGCATCATGGTGAACAACCGCATGAACTTCAGCATCACCATGACCATCATCCTGACTAACACCATCACGACAATCATGCTCACCACCAGCATCGTCATCGCATCCAATCAGCATGATCGCTATCATCATGGTCATTAGTTTCACCAACATCCTCATCCTCATCATCATCAACATCAACATCATCATCATCATCAGCATCGGCATCATCATCATCATCATCATCATCATCAGCATCATCATCATCACCGGCAACATCAGCATCACCAACATCACCATCGTCATTATCATGAGCATCATCATAACAAACACCATCATAACAACCAACACCATCACCATCATCGACATCGCATCCGATCAGCATCAGTATCATTATTATCACTATCACCATTCGCACCAGTATTATCACTATCATGCACGTCATCATCAACATCGTCATCATCGGCATCATCATCAACATCATCATCACCAGCATCCGTCATCACCATCATCATCATGAACATCGTCATGACAACCACAGTCTTCACCACGAACGCCATAATCAATCTCGCCATCATCATAATCATCATCGTCGTCATCATCAGTATCAACATCATGATGTCCACCAGCATCATCATTATCAACATGCAGGTCATCACCACAATCACCTTCCTCATCGTCATCAGCATCACCACAATCATCATCTGGGCATTCTCATCAGCATCATCATATTCATATTCGCCATTAGCATGTGCACCATCATCATCAACAGCAACAACATCACCATCATCATCAGAATCAACATCATCATTGTCGTCGTCATGACTAGAAGCATCCTCACCTTAACCAACACCATCACCATCATGCGATACAATGGTCATCTTTACCAGTCACATCAGCATCATCATCGTCATCACGAACATCATCATTATCATCGGCACCACGCCCATCAACATTATCAGCATCATCACCATCACCAACACCAGTAACATCATTAGCATCATCGTTTTCAACATCATCATCCTCAACAACATCACGTTGCCACCGCCATCATCAGCATCCTCATCATCATCGTTACCACAACCATAATCATCAGCATCATCGTAATCATCGTCAGCAGCCTCATCATCATCATCGTCATCGCCATCATCATCTGCATTGTCATCATCACCATCATCATTAGCATCATTATCATCATCACCATCACAATCACCATCATCATCAGCATCATCATATTCATCATCTTCAACATCGGCATTACCCCTATCATCGTCATACTCCTCATCATCCTTATCGCGGCTGTCCCAAGCCTAGAGATACGAAGTGTCACACGTGACGGCCTCCCGTGCCCCCTCGAACAGTCGTCACCCAGAATGCTGGGCTGGCACGGTGGCGGGACTTGCCGCAGGCAGCTGGATAAACCACCTTGGCATCCACTTGTACCCCCCTATCCCTTTGGCAACCCTCGCAATCATCACAGAGGGGGCCCTCGCCGGGCCCTGGGAGCGTCAAATTACCTTGGCAGGCACCCTAGAGGCAACAGAAGCAAAAAGGCGGGTCGAGGAGTAAGACATCGGCTAAAGAAAACGTGCTTTCCTATGGATCCATAAGGTTTCCGAAGAACGCTGACAGGCGAGACAAGAGGTGAGAACATGGCCATGTGCACCTCAGTGTGTTTGTTATACGGGTTCCTGGCCACCTGGACCAAAACATGTGGCCAGCATTGAGGCGAGAACACGCTTCCATCATACATTACGGGGAATTCTCGGGCGAAACGGCTACTGGACTGGGCGTTCTCGCGACAAACTTTGGAGCCGCCCAGTGAAACGCTGCTGGGCAATGGCTGACCGCGTTTTGCCATTTCGGCCTCTGGGGGCACTCCCCGGGCCCAGGGGCCGGCCAGCACGGACTCAGGATGAAAACGCGGCATGGGGAAAGTGTCGGGACTTCAAGGGGTCCAGTATAGAATGAACCAACACATCGTGTCTCTGAGGACTGGCTCAGGGTGGTGGTGGGGGGATCGACCTGGAATCGACGATACATCGCCGATAGATCGACGATAGTGAGGCTCCTGATCGCGAATCCTCACATTCCTGGGCGGGGTGAGCTATTAGTCCCATGTCGACCAATGGGCGATTTGGGGTCGACTTAGTCGAAACAGCCCCCCTGAGCCTGGTGCCCCCTAACGTTGCCCCCGATACCCCCCGTCAGGCGCCCGAGCATCAGCACCCAGAAGTCTCCGAAGTGCTTTGTCAGGCAGGACACGATGTTCGGGCGTTGCTAGCAAAAGTAATCCTGGCCCCAGGGGCTTCAAATTTTCCACCTCTGGGGCCCCACGGGCCTTCGTGAGGAGTGCTCTGGAAGCCGTCTGCGACTCCCTGGAAAATCTGGGGCACCCTTGGGCAACGCCCCCTGCTAGCAACAGCCGAGATGTACAGAACGCAGTAGAGCTGGCAGCCTCTCTTGCGCCCGAGGCGGTCCACCCAAGAGCCGACGACGGTGCCGAACGCGAAGGAGGCCCCGAAGCCCGCCACGAAGAGGCGCGCGATGTCTTCGCGCGGGAGCCCGTACGCCTCTGGGAGGGGCGAGACCACAGCAACCTCCGAAATCCGCGCAGGCGTCTCGGGTCGGCGTTGGGCGCGCCCAGCCAGCCTCGAACTCATCCCTACCCCTGAGGTCGACAAGCCCAAGGCGATGACAATCCCAGAGATGCGCAGGAATCCTTCAGATCGGCACCGAGCTGAGGTGATGCCACACATGGGGATATGACATGCTTCAAGCTGGCAAGCACCACACCCCACACGGCGGAGCCTTCAGCACCGCCCCTGCAGCGCCTCGCGCGCTGGGCAGGGGGGTGGGTGTCAGGCGCCAGTCCGAGAAAATCCGCGCGGACCTCCAAGAATTCGTGCTTGTGCCGACTTCTCCTGCTCTCGGCGGCGCGCCCGGGTTGGGAGGCAGGGGTGGCGCGCCTTCCTCGAAGATGGACGGACCACGCTTTAGCGAAACGCCCTGTAGTCAAGGCTTCCATGGACACCCCACGTGCGCAAGGCACGGCATTCCGAGTGGACCTGGGCGGGATAACAAATAGACATCCAAGAACAAGCGAACCTACCCGGCGAGACACACGTCGATCAGCGAAACCGACGGGGGCCTGCACAGGCACACCCGAATGTCAAGGCCAAGTGCACAGGTGCAAATTTCATCAACCCGCATGTCTGGGCGGGCGTTCTGTCAATGCCCGATTGCTTCGATGCGTGAACACTCGGAGGACTGGACCACCTCCCTACAGGGCTGGTTTTTCATCCTGAATCGTTTTGTTGATCGTCCTGGGGCCCGCTGAGAACCCCCGAAGGCGGGAAATGGCCTCGAACTGACCGCTGCAATTTTTGCGGAGCATCGGATCTGGCCAGGAGGCTCATAAGGCCCCCAGTCTTCTGAGAAGCTTTGTGAGCCCTCTCCGCCTTCTGAGAGGGCACCTCCGCCTTCTGAGAAGGCCTTCCCCCGCTCGGAAGCCTGGCGGCTTCCGGGCCACAAGTGGACTCTCGGTGGCCGTTCGGGACGATGCGGGCACCCCCGGAACAGTTTCGGCGAGGCGCGACGGGGGGAACGCATCCCGAGGGTGCGGAGCCGCCGAGAATCGACGAAGCCGCCAAAAAACATGGAACCTCGAGCCCGACACACTCAAGCTTCCTCACCTCCTCGGCGCGCTGCCGATCTCGGAGCCGCGCACGTCGCGAAAAAACCATCTTGTGGCATATATTCTTCGTTGAAGTTGAACTTGAGTGAGGGGGCCGAACGGTAATTCACTATTCCTGGGTGCGTGGCAGACTTGGACTTCCGCGGCGCGGATCATGCTTGTCTGTCTGCTGTCGCCGCCCCACCCGCGACCCGCCCCGCCACCCGCCCTCGCCCCGTCCCGCGACCCACCCACGACCCAGCCGGCGACCCATCAGCGACCGACCCCGCCGCCCTCTCACTTTTCTGTGCAACTACGGGGTGCTAGTTATTTCGGAGGTGCCCCAGGGCGCCTTGGGCCCCCAAGGCAGATGGAGGAGAAGAACCTTCCCTGGGACACCAGCTGGCAGGCCTCTGTATTGTCCGAAGTGTCAACTGTATGCCGATTTTCATCGTCGAGTCTCGTACACTCGTGGAAGTTGCCCCCAAAAACACTCCAAAGCTTTCCGAAGCGACCTCAACCGCCCAAAAACCTCCTCCAGCTTCGATCCTGGAACCTCGACACTGGTGACTCCCATAGAGATGGTGACCCCCTTAGCACTGCCCGAGATCGTCGAGACCTCGTACAGGGCGTAGACGTAGGGGCCCTGCAGCCAGTCGCCCGCGACGCACAGCAGCCACACTGGCAAAAAGGCGGTGCGTAAGCCTTCCTCTGCGACCGCCGCCGCTGGGTCGACTCCGCCGCGCACCTCCTCGGGCCAGCCACGACCGAGCGACGCAAAGAAACGGGTCTCACACGAGAAGGCATGGTGACCTTACGCCGCGGCTTACGCTGGCCGCCAGGGTGGCACACCGCGCGGAGAAGAGAGCACTCACGCGCGGCCTGACGCGGGGAGCTTGCGCGCGAATGTGTACGACCGCTGCCGATGGGTCGACTCCGCCGCGCACCTCCCTGAGCCAGCCGCAGCTGGTGGAGATGCGGTCCTTGCCTACCATCCCACACCTCCGACGATTTACTTCTTCAATCCCGGAGCTTTTTCTGGATTCCAGCGTCCTGGGCCCGTTGTCGGGCTCCGGGACTATCAAAAATGCATCGCGGACGACAGGCTACCCCCAGGAGAAGGGTCGGGGCTTCTGGGGCCGCAGATTGCAAAAAACAGATGGCAGGTTCCAGAAACACTGAGCCAAAAAATGTTGTCATCTTTCTGGGCCGCATGTTTTACTTCCACCACCTTTCGACGCCCTTCAGCCAGCTTCCGCTGGTAGAGGCGGCCTCGCTTTACTTCCGCCTATCCTCCGCCGCCCTTTCGCCGCGGAAGAGATGACAGCTCCTTCGATCCTCGAAGGCAAGGTCCTTCCTGGAAGGCCTCCCATCGGAGGATGTCTGTCGTGGGGCGCCAAGCGAGAGATCCTGCCATTCGATATGTGAGGGCACATCCTCCATCGACTCTGAGCTCCGTGGGGTGCTCTCCGGGGCTCTGCGGGCCCAGTTTGAGATAAGGAACAGCTATCACGGAACCAACATTTGGCAAGCCAATGTTTGTATATGATGCGCATTGTATTCGGCGGAAACACACATCAAAGCACCCCTAAATGGACAAAGCCTGTGAGCAAGCACACCAAATGAACGAACAGCACGGGATGACCGCTCAATACACGCCCAAGACCCGTTGGGCAGGCGCCAGATGTGGCGGGTCGGGGTGGTTCTTCTTGTCGTGGTGACACCCCTGGGGTACCATCGGCGTCGACACCCCTCTCGAGAGGTCGCCAGTACAGCCATAATGCTACCATATCGCAACGACCGCCACATGAGAGCCGATTCTTCCAGCCGCGGCGAGCCTCGGCAAGGAATCTTTTTCCTGACCCGTACCCAAAGAACACGTTGGGTCCCCCCCAGGGGAGGTAGGAAACACAACGCTCCCACTTGAGTGACGAGAAGAAACGGGACCTACGCGGATGACATAACGACCTGACGCGGTGGCTTACGTGGGATGCCAACGCGGCACACCACATTGGAAACGAGGGCGCGTACGTGCGACCTTACCCAAGCAAATTACTCGCAAATGTCCGCGCAATCGACCCCGTGTTTCTGCGTCGCTGCATTGCGGCTGGTCGGCTCCTTCCCATCGTCCCATGGCTTCACCCGCAGCGCCAGCAGCAACGCCAGCGACAGGCACGTAAGGAATGCGGCCGTGTAGACCTCTGGCACGCCCCACGCGGCGTCCGCGAGCTCCACCGCCCCGGCGTCCACCGCACCACCTGGGAGCCCAGCATGAAAATACAGTGCGATGCATACAGTGCGACAAGCCCAGCATGAAAATGTGTTGCGTTCCAAGCGCACCTGCACGATTGGTTCCGTCGCGGACCTGGCGAGCGGGCGGGTCGGTCGAGCAACCCCCAAGGGCACTGGACAACGCATCGTGCACTGCAAGAGCCCCGGACAGAAGAGGCAGGGCGGCCGCGGGGGGGAGGAGGAGCGGGCGGGGGCGGCAAACTCAGACCTTCAGGTCTTCGTGCGTACCTGCGGCTCTCCCTGTGATAGGGGTGAGCAACACTGCAGCACTGAAATAGGACGCCTGCCCAGCTGCGGCTGCGGCGGCGACCTGTCCGGCCAGCCCCGCTCCGCGCCTGGGACGACGACGGCAGGAGGAAGATAGCATCGGGATGGGACACATCGGGGATCTCTGGGGGCCATCGGAAGACCGCCCCCGAGGCCCCCAAGAAGCCCCATCAAAGTCCACACAACAGACGCGGAGGAGGAGAGGGGCAAGCCAGAAACAACTACACGCAGGCAGCACGACGGGACGCGGCAAACAACGAGTGCTCCTCTGGGGTTCGGCGGATCAGCGTAAGCCTGATCAGTACATCGGGGATCTCTGAGAGCCGGCGGGTGTGGAGGACGAATCGGGCGCCGCGGCCCCTCCCAGGGCGTTCTGCAACGCCCTGGGAGCTTTCGAGGACGCTCTGGGGCGATGTTCGGCTGCTTCGTGTCATGGCGTCTGGCGCGTGGCTCGTGACACCACGTGTCTGTCGACCGCGGCGTTCCGATAACGCGGATCGTTCGCCAGCGGCCGTATCCCTGGCCACTGGCGGCGTTTTACCTTGAACCCCCGCCCCGCGCGGGGATTGCCGTCGCACAGACGCGGAGCAAGCCTGCCGTATCTTCGGGTGCGCCGAGGAGGGGGGCCAGGAAGAGGGGGTCCGCGCACCATGGCCCGAGGCGTGTGTGCGGAGAGGCAGGGGCCAGAGGACGCACTGACACAGTGATACGAAGACAAAGAAAGAGGCCATGAAATCTGGGAGTGCTCATGGCCCCGAGCATTCGCCCCCCCCCCCCACCCCCCTGGCGCCTCGAGCGGGGGACAGTAGCACGGGTATGGCTCGAACGCCGACCGTCGATCCCCTGCGATGGGGGGATATCCGCGTGAAGGCGCCCGCGGCGACCTGGCCCTGCACCCCGCCGCGAGCAGCGCCCCGGCGCCCGGCGCCCCCGCGCCGGCCCGGCGGCGGCGGCGCCCCAACGGCCCCGCCGCCCCCGCCGCGCGCTCGCCGGGGGCGCCCCGAAGGCGCCCACGCGGGCGCCGCCGCAGGCGCCGAGGGCGCCGCCCGGCGCGGCGGCGGCGGCCGGCGACGACGCGGCGGCCGCAGCGCGGGCCGCGGCGGCGGCGCTGCGCCGCGGCGGCGGGCGCGCCATGGGGCGCCGCGGCGGGGGCGCGCCGAGGAGGCCGGGAAGGCCCTTTCGGTTCTACACACGCAAGCTCTGACGGCCGGTGGGGGAGCCCGGGGCCCCCGAGAACGGTGGCTCATCAACGATGCCAACGGTGACCTACAACGAGGCCCCCATCGTGGCCATCCCTGTGCCTAAGCCCTCTCGCTACCTGTCCCTGGCTCCTATTTTCCCTACATGCCCACATCCATATCCCTGTCCTAATTATCCATCCCCCACCACTATTACTGTGTGAAGCTGTTTGGGGAATCTTTGCCGCAAGGGTGTCGTTTCGATCTAGGCGCCTCCTGCTCGCGCGCCCTCGGCCGAGGCCTCGCTCTTGATGCCGACCTCATATAGCGGAAAACGAGGCCACCATCACTCGGGCGGGCATCATACAGTCAAAACTGATAGTAAAGATGCGCGATAAGGATGCGAGCCCCTTGGACGCCAATGTCGAAGGTTTTCGAGCGGGGCTAGCGATCGAAAGTGGTGAAGGACGGACCGGGGAGGCAAGGATGCGGGGGTGCCCTTGGGAGGGTTACCCATCCATACCCTCGGTTTCGACAGTGCCCTGGGCGGCGGTCAGAACACGATTCCCGCCCATTCTGGACTCGGCCTCGATGGTCGTAGTGCTGGCATGCAGGAGCGCTGAATCAGGAAAGTGGCGGCGCTCTCGGCTACGGTGAGCCTCGGCCACGACCAGGTTCCACGACCTGGATCGAAGGAGCGGCCCGAAATCTGGAGCCCCTCCTGAGCCCAGAGTGGTTCGGATCTCGGCGCGGTGCCTGCAAATCCTATGTGCCCCCTTTCCTGCACTGGCGATGCCTCTGCAGCCGTACAGCCGGACCCAGGCCAGAAGAACATTCCTGAAGAACAGGAGATCTTCCGTCGGCTAAAACACACAGAGAACATCGAAGGGTGCCTCCACAGGATGCTAGAAGGAAGAAACAAACGCCATACATATAAACTTTTCGCGCTCCGCGCGGATTTCTTGGATCTGCGCTGGACACCCCTCGATGGCGTGAGGAGCGTGCCAGGGTCCGCGCGAGAGGCGCCGCCAGGGGGCCCCAGCGCGGATCCAAGAAATCCGTGCGAAGCTCCACAAGTGTTAGTGTATACCGTGTTTTCTTCGAGACGCACAAGAGCACCAACAAACGCAAAGAAGAACACGAAGGCACCTTCCCCGAACCGACCTCCATCTTACACCTCGGTCCGACTGTACCGGCAGCGACAAGGCCTTGGGCCTGCCTGCGGCACACCCCGAAATGCTACGTGCTCTGAGGGCGCTCGGGCCTCCCGAGGCCCTCTCACACCCGTCCCTCCCGCCGTCCCCTCCGAACTCGTGCCTCTGGCAGGTTCGCGCGGCGTCGGCGCTCGCAAAAGTCCCACCAGCCCTTTGGGCGTGAGTGGTTTAGCGAGCTCTCTCTGTTCTCAACCCCCCTTCTTCCCCTTCGGGGAGGGGTTTACCCCTCCCCCTACCCCCTCCCCCTGGGCCTGGAGAGGTCCCTCCGCGGGTCGCCGGCGGGGTCTTTTTCGACTCCTGGGAGGGCTAAACAACGACACCCCTCACGAGGATTCTGGCCCCGACGGGGGGGGGAAGAAAAGTGCTCCCCTCTTCTTTGAAGCCAACATCATTGATTTTACTACGGTTTTGGCCCCATTTTGGCCTTCTGAGGGGGCAGAGCTAATTAAAGCTCCACTCTTCTTTGATCGATTTCCCCCACGATGGCCCCAAGAAGCGCCCAGGAGGCACCAAGAGGCCCCAAGATGGCCCCAAGAGGCCCCCAGGAGGCCCCCAAGAGGATCCCAAACGGCCCAAAGAGGCCCCCCCGAGGCACCCAAGACGCCGAAAAGCCCATCAGGACGACCCTCTACTCGCCTGGGCGTCGTTTCTGGACGGGCAGGAGGAGGGGCCCGAACGACTCACACCAGGACGAGGGGCCCGAACAACTCACACCACGAGAAGCCCGAACGACTCACACCAGGACGAAGAGCCCGAACGACTCACACCACGAAGAGCCCGAACGACTCACACCAGGAAGAAGGGCCCGAACGACTCACACCAGGACGAGAAACCCCAAACGACTCAAACCACGAGGAGCGCTTTCTCTCCCTCCTCCTCCGCCTCGTCCTTCTCCCGCTCCCACCACAAGGAGGATGTACAAGGAGGCGGGAGGAAGGAGGAACAGGGGAGATATGCGGGGGCAGGCGGAAACACGCCTGAAAAACACGACTGTCGGCATGCTTCGCTAGAGTTGCTGTTTTGAGATGGGCTGGTGGGGATACGCGAAGCGTGAAGAATTTTTGACACCGCATCGATCGTTCAACCTTGAATCGATCGCGGCCCCGATCGTTCAAGGTTGAATTCAGTCGGGTCCAGTGGCGCTACCGTGTCCATCGTTGTTTCCGCGTCGCAGAATTCAGCCTTGAACGCCTTCGCCGGCGTCGCCGGCGCGCCAACGCCGCGCGAATCTACCCAAAATTCGCTCACCAGCAGCGCTGGTGTAACTCGACCGCAACTTGGATCCAAAGCGCCGCAGGCCAACGAAAGAGTAGACCGTGTGCGTTTTGTCAAGTGAGCGACGGTCAAAAAAAAGTCTTACGCGAGATGACATAGCAACCTCACTCCGCAGCTTACGCGGGCCGCCGGGCCACTATGGCGATGAGGGCGCTCGTGCGAGGCCTTACGCGGGCAGCTTACGCGCGAGTGTCGGCGCAGCTGGACCCATTTTTGTTCGTCGCCCAATTGGGCCCCAGGGGCCCTCAAAAACGGCTGCTGGGGGCGGCCACGTGTCCGCCCCCCGACGTGCCGACGCGCTTCGTCCTCCGTAGGCCTGCCGGGGACTCCTCGTGATGGCACGGCCGGGTCCGCCTCGACATCTCTGCCGCGAGGAGAAGGCCCTGAGATCTGGCCATCGCACTTCTCGCCATCGCTAGGACGTCCATTCCCTGTGCATGTTTGGGTTCCGTGCGTTTATTTTTCCGCAGGATGCCAAGACTTTCTCGGCTCTCGATCGCCAGCAACGGCGCAGCACCCTTGGCCAGAGGTTGCAGCCAACGCCCCCCTCTGCGATGCCCTGTATGGGGGGGGGGGGGGCGGCTCACGGGGGGGAATCATCGAGCTGGAATCGACGATACATCGCCAATAGATCGGCGCCAGGCTCCCGCTAAGAACTCCGCACGCTCCTGGGCAGGGTCGGCTACCGGGCCCCTTCTCGGCGATGAGTGGGCCATCGGGGGTCGTCGCCTTTTTTCGTGGCTCCCCAGAGCCTGGCTCGCACATTGCTCCGCGTTGCCTGCTTTCCGGGTCATATTGGGTCTCCGGAGGCATTTCGGGACGATGCGGGCACCCTCGGAACACCCCGCTCGGGCGCAGCTACTGGAACACACCCCGAAAATGAAAAACCGCAGAGACACGACGAAAACATTTGGCGGATTTCGGAAACCCTGTGTCCAAAGACATGTTCATCTCTTGGACGCGTTTTTTAACTTCCGCCGCCTTCCGCAGAGCTTTCGCCGGCTTCCGCCGGCGGAGGCGGTCTCGTTTTACTTCTGCCGAACTTCCGCCGCCTTCCGCGGCGGAAGAGATGACGACTCATTCAATCCTCGAAGGCAAGGCCGTTTTTGGAACGCCACAAGTGGAAACCTTGAACCTCGAATTATGTTATACCCGTCGTATTTGAGAGCCACATCCCAAAAATAATTGCGAGCACTCAACGATGTATCGACACACTGTCTGCCGGACGCGCTGGCGAAGTGTCGAACGAGTATCGCCTCCCGGGGCCCGACATGTGCAGACCCTCCAGTTTCGGTACGTTCTTGATGCTCGAACTTTCTGTAGTGATCAAGGCTGAAATGGGTTGGACCATCGTAAGCCTCGAACCCGAACCTCGAAATGACGCTGCCACCGCATTGCGACGCCCCCGAGATTCGGGTCTCCAAAACGATGTGTGACCCGGGAGTCCCCGACGACCTCACCGCACGCTCTGTCACCGCACGTTTTTGGGACCTTTCGAGTAGGGGATCGACTACAGAATTGATTTACCCCACAATCCAACTTCCCGTCGAATCTGCAAAGAATCGTGGAATGACCCGTAGATCTATGGAACATTATACACATTCTTTGTATGTTCGACGAACAATATATTCTGGTGGGGTGAATCAATTATGCAGTCGATCCTCGATTTGAACCTTGGAGGCCCCAGGTCGCTCGAGACACCGAACCACCAAAGAGCTCACCCGGGCGACCCCAACCGGTACTAGCCCCTGGAAGTGGCAGGGCCGATGCGTTCGCCGTTTTCAACAAAATTGTTTCTGGACGTTCTAGTTTGCTTCAAGGGATGCGGGCTCCCAGAACCGATTTTTAAAAATGCTTCTGGATTGGAGCCAGAACTGGAAGCGGTAGCAAGAACGGCGATACGACAACAAACAATCGAAACGGGACAGGTAACAACACTGCCCTGTCGCTTCCAGAGCCCAACGAGATCCCGGCCCGCTACAGACCTTCGACTCTTCCTTCCGCCGCCTTCCGCCGAGCTTCCGGGGGCTTCCGCTGGCGGAACCGCCCTCGTTTTACTTCCGCCGCCTCCCGCCGAGAAGAGATATCAACTCTTCGATCTTCGAAGGCGAAGCCCTTTCGTGAATGGATGCGTCAGCGAGGCGGCGCGATCCTCCGACCCCCTCCGCTCCGACCCCACCCAGACATCCTCTGACATGGTTTCTTCCAATTGCGGCCAAAATGACGACCCCCTCCCCTGGGGGCTGTTCGTCCCGGACCCATGCTTGATGGTCCGCGGGCCTGATAAAAGGCCGCGGAGGCCGAACTCGAGGAGAGACCGTCGGAGTTGAAAATGAAGGATCATCAAAGATCTGGGCAGCTGGGAAGCCCCGCCACTCCGCAGTTTTACACGACGTCGACACCCACAGTTCTCGACCCTTTCCGTGGGACGGGGCTCGCATCCTGAGCCGTTTTTCGACAGTCTCGAGGCACGGCGAGGGCCCCAGAAGCAACAAATAGCGGGAAACCTCCCGTCGCTTTTTTGCTAATGATTCGCGGGGTGGTGCGTCGTCAGCGTTGTCGTCGTCGTCGTCGTGGGACCCCAGCTTGGAGGCTCCGGCCCCCCCCGCGGCGAGGGGCGGCAGGCCGCCTCGGCGTCGCTGCGGCGTGGGCTCGGCCGGGCCCCGGCCTGCAACAGGAGCTCAACGGCCTGTGCCGCGGGCGGAGGCCGCGGCGCCAGGGGAGGAGCGCAGCTGGCCCTGGAGCAGAGGCCTTCTGAATGGAGTCGGAGTAGACGCATCGCCAATACATCGGCGATTCATCGGCGATGCATCGGCGAAGCACCGGCGATGCACGTCGACGTCGGCGACGTCTACGTTCATGCAAATTCAGCCTTGTCGCCGATGCATTGGCGATGCGGCGCGATCCTCCGACCCCATCTACTCCGAACCTATCTAGGAGGCCTCGATGGAGAGGAGGGCGGACGAGACAACCGAACGTGCGCATCGTTTCACCGACCCCTATCCCAATGAACGTGGCCTGGGCCCCGCTGGCTGATCTACCCTCCTGGACGGGGATATGACCCGTTTCCTTCGGGTTTCGAAAGTTATATCATATGGGATCGAGCCCACCCAACCCCCTCTGGATGGGTACGCTCGTGAGCCTCGCGGAAGTCTCGCGCAGTGGCCGTGGCCCTGTGGGCGTGGCGTGGTGGAGGCTGTGGGTGTGCGGTGGTCCGTCGTCGTCCGTCCTCCGTCGTCGTCGTCGTCAGTCGTCCGTCGTCCGTCGTCCGTCGTCCGTTGTCCGTCCTCCGTCGTCCGTCGTCCGCTGTCCGTTGTCTGTCATCTGTCGTCCGTCGGCCGTCGTCCATCCTCCGTCGTCCGTCGTCCGTCGTCCGTCCTCCGTTGTCCGTCCTCCGTCGTCCTGGCCGTCGTCCGTCGTCCGTCGTCCGTCGTCCGTCGTCCGTCGTCCGTCGTCCGTCGTCCGTCGTCCGTCGTCGTCGTCGTCGTCGTCGGCGTCGTCGTCGTCGTCGTCGTCGTCGTCGTCGTCTGCGTCCTCGTCCTCGTCGTCGTCGCCGTCGTTGTCGTCGTCCTCGTCGTCGTCGTCGGTGTTAGCGTCGTCGTCGGCGTGAGCGTTGGTGTCGGCGTCTGCGCGGACGCTGGCGTCGTCGTCAGCGTCGGCGTCGGCGTCAGCTTCGTCCCCGTCAGCGTCGGCGCCGGCGTCGTCGTCATCGTCGTCGTCGTCGTTCGTCGTCGGCGCGGTCGTCGTCGGTGTCGGCTTTTGCGGCGGCGTCGTCCCCTCCAATCCCATGGCGGGGGGGGGGCCTGTGGAACCCTGAGACCCATCCCAGTTGGGGGTGAGGGGCCTGTGATCCCTCGAGAGGGGATCGTATATCCCAAATTGGGTTAGTGAGATGGTGGGGGTCTGGATGCGGGGGTGGATAAGGGGATAGAAGTCGCTTGAACGATACTGGGAACGAACCACGCCCGTGGGAAAAACAAAATCCACGTCCCTACACAAGGGGTCTACCCCGAGCGCGAATGATGCGCACTACCATGCACAAAAGCTGGCTAAATGGAAACACTCTGGTATTATATAAGGCGCAAAGGAAGAGCAGGAAGCTGAGGAGGTCGGCTGCGCGGCCGCCCCGTTCTGTTTCTCGTCGTCCTGCTCCTCATCCTCCTCATCCTGCTCCTCCTCATCCTTCGCTTCGCTTCGCTCGCGGCTCGATGTCTAATAGACGAAGCCGTTCGCGCGGCCGCGGCCGCGCGCGCGCGCCCGAGGCACGCAGTGGGGGCCACCCCCCCGACACGGGCCCCCGCCAGGAGGGCAAGGGTGAGAAGCCGCCTAGGCCTCGCAGGGGGAGGGGCGGGGGCCGAAAGGGGCCGAGAAAAAAAAGGGTGCCCAGGAGTTTCGGGGCAGAGGGAAGGAAGAGGGAGAGGCCACATGGGGGTGGCAAAGCGGGGCGGGGGGAGGGGGCTCATTAAAGGCCTGGGGAGGAAGGGAGTCCACCCCCATGAGGCCTTCACGCGGGCGGCGGCCCAGGTCACGCCTGGACCGTGTCCTCCCCCCCCTCTCCATTGAGGGGGCGTTCGTGATGGTGTCGGCGGCCGCCTTGATCCCTACGGTCATCTTGCCGCGGTAGGCGTCCGCCTCGAAGCTCTTGGGCCCTGTTACGGCCAGCTCGGGTCGTCGGATCTGCAGGCTGCAGTCCGACCTCCAGGGAGCAGGCTGCTCAAGACGGAGTCGACGAAATCGTCGAGTGGGCTGCTGTGCTCGTGGGAGGTGCCGTCGTAAATGGCGTAGAGGTTGCTGGTGGAGTCAATCCTGGTCGGTCTTCTCGTGGCAGTTCTCTCCGTAGCGTAGTGCATCTGCTCGGTCGTCCACATCAGCGACGGACCCGCTGGGGCTGCGGATTGCGCTAGTAGTACAGGTACTTCTGCAATGTGGGCGGCATGGAAGATGTGGATGGCTAGGCGGGCATGGTGGTTCGCGATCAGTCGACGTTCCGCTGCCTTGCCTCCAAGGTTTACTCTTCCCCATGGGTCCGAGGTTGTTCTGGAGGATGCTGCCGTTCTGTCGTGGATGTCGCCATCACCTTGGTCGATCCAAGTGCTGGGTGAGAGGTTGATCGTAACTCCTGCGAAGTCACCCTGTCGAATGTGCTGGTGGATCAAGTCAAGGGCGTCGTACTGGGATGGGTGTTCGGCGGAGTAGAGATCGTCGAAGGTCATAGTAGCCAGTTCCATAACCATTCCATTGTAGCATAGTCGTTGGTCCGTGATGTCGAGCAGATCATTCGGGTGTCTATCGGTGTTGGTGAGGTAAAGCAGGGATCTGTTTCTGGTCGGTGTCCGAGGGTAGTGGGCTGGTGGTGGTGGTGTAAGTTCTGCTACAGTCGGGAAAAAGGGCGGTGGTGAAGGTGATAGGTCAAGGGAGGGTAATGGGGTGACGTCGGATGCGTGGGCAGGGATGGGATGGTATAGTTCGGGGCGGCCTCTGCGTTTGTTGTCGGCTATGCTGGCCGCGTAGATCGCCTGATTGGTGGCCACGTCCTCCTCAGTGAGGGCAGGTCCTTGTAAATACCACATATACCATGACCGTCGGCATCGGGCTACCGTGGTTAGATGCTTCACTAGCTTGGCGAAGGAGTGGAAGTTCTGGCGGCATATTCTGCACGATGTACCCGATGCCCAGTTTCGCGGATGATCAGGTCGTCGGTGTTCCCGTCCGATATGTATTGCCATGCCCTGCTTTGTCTTGGTTACTATTCCGCACTCGTAGCAAATGAAGTTGCTGTCGCCGTTGTCACGTGATGGCGTGGTGCCCGCCCCGATGGGGCCGTCTGGTCTGAGCACCTTGGTCAGCTTGTCGGCGTGGGCACTGTCTTTAGAGGCGCGGATGTAGTTTGTGACAGCCAGGTTGACGGAGTTGGTGAAGTGCCTCGGCGTGGTGCGAGCCCATGCGATGATGTCGGGGTCGAGCTTGCTGGTCGTGGGCCAGCGCTGGTCGTCCAGGTATGTGCGCAGGAAGTCGAAGTCCTGGAAAAGCATGTATGTCCATGAGCCCTTTCTCCGTCGCTGGTTGTCAAGCAGTTGTAGGAGCTGCTGAGGAGCGTGTCGTAGAAGCCGTGGTAAGTATCGCAGCCGTCCAGCAGACTGGTGGTGGTCGAAGTCGGGGATGCCGGTGTAGGCTACTACTTCGGTGGCCGTGAAATGATGAAGCTGCGAGTTAACTTTGGGTAATCCAGCTGCCGTGCGATAGGGCTTCGAGTAGGCGTTGGATATGCGCTGGTGGTCAGTCTGAGTCAGTGCTGGCCAGACGTGATGGTTGAAGGTCAATGAGGCAGTCGAGAGGGCGTGCACGTACTTGATCTTCGTTTTGCGGGGTAGGCGTCGACGTCTTAGGATTTGCCTCTCCAGAGCTCGTGCCGAAGCGTCGGTTCGTTGCATGCGATTCTGCACCTCGGGGCCCATGCTGCCGTTGGTTATGATGGTGCCTAATAGTCGGTGCTGGTCTGTGATTTGGACCGAGATCGACATGATGCTCAACTTGATTGATGTAATGTTTTGCTGTGCAAGCCTGCTGCGCACGACGTTGGAGCCCGTCCCGTTAAAGGAGATGATGACCTTGGTCTTGTCTGGGTGTGGTTTGAGCCCGTATGTAAAGGCTGTACGGCATAGACGTTCAGCTGAAGTTCTCGTAATGTCAATGATGTCGGAGTGGTGTGTGGTCGAGTTGAAGTCGGTGAGGTCGTCGACGAAGGACATGTTGGTCAGCTTGCCGCCTTGGTGAGGGGCCGTAGAGAAGAGCGGGTTGTCGCAGGGGCTGATGTGGTGGCCGCTTTCGCCGTCTTCTGCCCCTTCAGCGTCGTCGGCGATGGCCTGAAGCACCAGGGAGAAATGCATGTTGAAAACTGCGTCGGAGTATGGCACCCCTGGCCTGGTACTGGTGCGAGGGATCACGTATGCGTCGGTGCCCTTGGCGGTCATCCAGTTGGCCGTGTGGCGGTCGGCAACTAGGGCGCAGAGGTGAGAGTCGTCGACGTGGGCGTTGAGATGTGCTGGGCAGCGAAGACGTTGTCGTAGGGATGGGAGTAGGCATATGGGAATCTCGATGTTGTCGATGACGTCTTCGAGCTCGTCCTCCTGAGTCGGCAGCTGAAAAATGAACTCCTTTATTACCGAATGGAAGGCTTCTTTCAAGTCCAGGAAGAGGATGCTGCCCGTGCGAGCCTGTGTACGGCAGTCGTCCAAGAAAGTGTAGGCGGTGTGAGTGATGAAGTCGGTCGCCTTGTGAGGGACGGCGCCGCATTGTGTGTCCATGAGCAGGTCGGGTAGGATGTCGCGGAAGAGGCCTCTCAGGAACTTGCTGTTGATCTTTCCTATAGTGTTGTTCAGGAGGATGCCCCTGTATGCTTTCTGCAGATGAAGCTGTCCTTGTCCTTTGGAGAAATGGGTGGAGAAACCGCCCTTCGCCGAAATAGGCTCCGTCGTCATCATTTGCATCTTCATCATGATAGGGTGCAGAAGTCGGGCAATCTGGCGCGGCGCTGCTCGTGCCATGTCGTCGGTGTTCCCGTCGGGCCCGCCGCGTTTGCCTTTCTTGGCGGCTGCCAGGGCGGATGTCAGATTGTGGATGGTCTGGACGTTGTCGATGTGGGGTATCGGCTTGGTGTGGGCAGTCTTGTTGTTGTAGTACTTGACGACG